ATTCCCGTTAGTTGCATCTTCTATTTTTTTTTCACTGCATGGTAAGAAGAACAAAGTGTAATAATCCTGAATAACTGAAGGCTAGAACGTAAAATTATCAGAACTCAACGGACTTTTTTCTTTATTTTGAAAAAGGAATCAAATTCAAACAATAAGCGAGAACAAACTGGATTTTTAATCTCGAGGTTAGTGTCCTTTCATTTGCACTCCAAGATATTTTCTTTGTTGTTATTCATTACCTTGAAACCTCCTTGAGATCTTCTTGGTGTGAAGATTGAACTAGATTGAAATTGAGCTTTGCTAACTCGATCAATTTAGACTTTGTTGATTCATGATTTTTTTCATGCGCCTGGACATGTTTCTTCACATTGTACCATTCCACTCTCCATTGCATTGGAAGACTTATAGCTTCATACACTTGTTTGGCAAGCATGTTATCTGACGAGGCCCCAAAACCACTAAGATTTTCGATAGAGAATAATCCTGCCTCAGTCAAAAGATCTTCTCCTTCTCCACCTAGATTTGATGCTTGAAGAAGCTCAAGCAACCCTTTGATGCTTACTTTCGGGCTAGGGATGAATTTATCAGCTCCATCCACAAAATCTAGGAACATATCTGAAATCCATCCAAATTGAAAGTGAGGGGAAAAAACGTAAATTCTTTAGGCTGTGTTTTGATTGAGGGATTCGACGAAGGATTTGAAATCCTTTTAAATATGTCTAATCGTTTAAATTATTTATGAGGTATTTAAATTTGTAAATCATCAATTATGTTAGTATTTAAAATATATTCTAATATTTGGTGAATTACAAATCCAAATACATGTTAAATAATTCAAGCAACTAGAGCAATTTTAATGGATTTGAAATCTTTCATCTAATTCTTCAATTCAAACGAAGTTTAAAGCGTTTCCTTCAATTGAAGTGTTACCCCTCCAAGACACATTGAATTACGTAAATTAAACGATCCAGAAGTCAATTTTTTTCTTCCATATTTTGCTTTTCACATTCAATCAAATATTGCCTGCTTTTGAGCACTCATAAATACTTTATATTTACAAGGAACTCTCTCAAGTAGTTTGCATGTACGTACCTTGTGAAGCATGATAACCGTGATGCCTAAGAAGCCTAAAGCAGAGTGCGGTAGCGTAAAGATCTCCTTTTAAAACAGAGGTGTTGTTGCTTAAGGCTGTGGCATCTAGAGCTTCTTTGATCTCCTGCATGAAGTATTTGTCGAGACCTAATTTTGATATGCTGTCTATAAGCTCCAGCTTAGACAATGTGTCACTAGCTTCCACAAACATGCATTTGACATCCTCTTTAAGTGTCTGGGCTCTAGTTTTGTATTTCTTTTCCTGAAAAGAGGGAAAAATATTTCAAGTAGAATGGAAGTATTGTAGCTATGGTGCAACCACCTTATAGTTACTATATGCCAACTAAGTATATAAAGTACATTTATTTATTTATTAATCACACGTACAAGGAACGAAGTTAAGTACGAAAAGCACTCCTAATTTTAGCCATTGGTTCATCTGGAGAAAATATCACTAGTCGTCATAAATTGGGAGGACTCTAATCACCATGATCAAAAAGGTGACGAGGTTCAATATAAAGAATTTAAAAAAAGAGGATGATAATTTAATAGGTCACTCTAGGTAGCATGGATATTTCCATTCTTGTGGATTGGAGCTTAGCTATCACATGCGTCTGTTGATTACATGCATGGCAATCAAGAACCAGAGTTCTTACCGAAAATTGGCTAGTGAGAGATTGAAGGAGTTCATGTTTCCATATGTTTGGCTTGTAGTTGGCTGTTCTCCTTTGAACACTTTGATCTATCTTATCACTATTAGTTCCTGCCTTCGCTTGTGGGCTCGACAAAGGTTGCAATTCAACACTAGTCAGGGAAGAAGTAGAAGAAGAAAAGATCAGCGTATGGTGATTGAAGGATCCTATCCTAGAGTTCATGCCCATGGTTGTTGAAGGATACATGGAGGAAAAACAAGAAGAAGGGATATACAATGCCGAGTGTTTAAAGATAGTTAGGCCTCTTCTTTGAACTCCATTATTTATAGTGGAAGCGGGCTGAAATTTCTCTATAAACTAAACTACTGGACTAAAGAATTCATCAAAAACGTGTTCCAATTTGATAGAAAAAATGCAGAAATGCGCACGATAGTTGTGAACAACAAAGCAACTGTTATCTATTAGTAAAATGTAGTTTAGATAAATAGCTGCAAAATGCTCAAGTGACAAATTAACTTCTGATTTATTTGGGAGAGAGTTGGATTGACTGATAAGATAGGGGATCTTTAAGTAGGAGGAAACGTGTTTCATCGGTCGATAATTGAGAATTCAGTAATATATTTTAGATTTCTAAAGACGTACTTGACTTGGGTTAATGAATCGCTATTAGGTGTACTTAAATAAATGAAAATCACATTTGCATACACTTAAGTAAAAAGGTTTGAGATTTAGTACTACTTCAACAAGCAAGTTTTGTCTCCATACTTGTTTACATTTAACTTGTGATTTTCATTTATTAGGTGTGATTTTCACTATTAGGTGTACTTAAATAAATGAAAATCACATTTACGGACACGTAAGTAAAATGGTTTGGGATTTAGTACTACTTCAACAAACAAGTTTTGTTTCCATACTAGTTGGGTTGGCCAATTTAGCCTTGACGCGTCTGTTATGATTAATAGTTACTATTTAACTTGTGATTATCACTATTAGGTGTACTTAAATAGATAATGACATTTGCGGACACCTAAGTAAAAAGGTTTGGGATTTAGTAATGACCAGTAATGTTTGGACCAGTAATGTTTGGACTTAGGGTTTGAGCACCGGTTGGTAGGGGTGGACAAAATTATCCGCTAACCCAAAAATCCGTCATATCTGATCTGATCCGATTCGAAAATTAGAATATTCGATTTTTATTATTTGATCGGATCAAAAGAGGGTCGGGTATTCGCTAAGATGCGGGGCGGGTTAGGGTCACATAATTAAAAATCCGTGGATACCCGATCCGCCCCGCATATATATATATATATATATATATTTATTTATTTATTTATTTTTATTTTTATTTTTATACACACACTATAAAATAATAAGTTAGAATTAAATAAGTAATTTTATTGAACAAATTGCATTACAAATATGAGAGACTGTAGTTTATTTACGAGATTTATTTATAAAGGTCATGATCTTATATTTTATAGAAAAAAGTTTAATTAACGTGGAACATATATATTAAAAATTGTGCTAGTTATTTCAAACTTTTATTGATTTTGAATTCTTTTAATTTTTTTCCTTTATCTTATATTCTCTTCATATGCTTGTTTCTTGGTGGGAAACCTTTTTTTAGGCAAAAAATTATTAAATCTTAGATAAATGTGTAAAATATAAAATTAAATTGGTATAAATCATTTTTTTAAAAAAATTAAATGATAAATGGGGCGGGGCCAGTACCTGCTGATCCAACCCTATCTCAGCGGGTACCCTATCTCAACGGGTACCCTATCTCAACGGGTACCGGCTGATATGCGGGGCGGATAAGAGTCAGAAAATGGCTGACCCGCAAGATGCAGGTCAGATCAGCCAAATGGTAAATAGGGCGGGTACCCGACCCGCGCCCACCCCTACCGGTTGGATTGGCAAATTTAGCCTTGACACGTCTGTTATGATGAATGTGGCACAATGTGATATTTCTAGAAGCCGCATTCCAATCTTTTCATTTGTCTAGTTTTATTGCACCAAATTATCCCTTTCTCATCCTCATCATATATAATGCTGAAAAAAATTAACTTCTGGGCTTTTTTTTCCCCAGTTTGATGCTAGACAATAAAAAAAAAAAAAGTAATTGAGGAGATGCAAAGGACCATTAGGGCTAGGGTCTATTATGTGCACCAAGAAGAAAGAGTTCAAAGTAGTTGCCCGGACCCCAGTTCATTTGCTTCTGCTTCTCGAATTGGTTTGGGTACATGCTGGTTTTAATACTGATATTCCAGACGAAAAGAGAGATGCAATCTTTTTTCTTAACAAAAAGAAAAAAAAAATTAGCTCAACACTTGCATTTGGATTGTGATTTTTTACAAAAGAAAAAAAAAATTTACATTTTTTTGAACATATTTTTCAATCATATTTTTACCTTATACACATTAAATCGCTACAGTATATTTTCCTACAAAAAAATCTTAAAAATAGTGGCAAATAGTGAGATCAGCCACATATAGTGGCAAATGGTATGAGATAAGATTTGTATTTGTCACGAGATAAGATTTGAACCCTTGACCTTTCACCTCATCAAATCTAAAAGCCATAGTGATGACTAACAGCCATTTGAGCTGTTGGTTCTCAACTTCTTTATAAGGTTCCAAAACCTAATAATTTAAACTTTTGAATTAGAGTTGCGCTCCTAACATATATATTAAACTTTTTGGCAAGCTCTCTTGAAATGTTTTCTCCCCTAACATGCTCCATTCAATAGAAATTCTCAGTCTTGTATCAATGATTATTCCAGCGCACTTCTCAACTTCTTCATTCAATTGAAATAACATGTGTATTGTCCAAGATTTTTAAAGAAAGAGCGAAATACGCAAAACCTTGGACAATACATGTGCTATTTCAATTAAGCAAAACCCCAAGGACACTAACAAGTAAGCAGATTTACAGACCTTACAATCAACATTTCTGTGCCAATGCAAGCAATGAGGTGGCTGGCTCATGCTAGTTGGCCATTATGTTAATGTCATGGCCAATACAAGGATCTAGATAACATCTCAACTCTGCAAAATGCTGCAGAATGAAAACTTATGACAGAAAAATCGCCTTGATGAGGACGTCAACAATATCATATGGCTTGTTCGATTTTCTCCCATTGTTTCCGCATTTTCCCTCCCCTCTTCTTCTACCTCTGTTTTGTCATTATCAGGATACACTCACTTCCATATTCGCCTTGGACCACTGTATATTAGTTTTGATCTTGATGGGAAACGGAAGTGCCAAGTTTGGACATGATATATTCATTGACAAAGCAGTCAAAAGATGAATGTGATCTCAGGCAGCAAATTTTACACAAGGGAACCCATAGAAATTCTGCGTTGATCATTAACGACCAAATCACAATGTAAGCGAAAGGTCCATGCAAAACCAGATGCTGAAAACATACATTACGACACCAGCAGTATCTGAAAACGTGAATAACATATTCAAGTATTTTAGTTCCCTATACACTTCCCAAGTTAATTAGAATGGAAAATGTGAAGAACCAAGAACTGATGTATGATTTTTCCCCAGGTTGCGCCCTCGAAGACACTCCAGGTCCATAACTTGAGAGTGATCCACGAAAAGGTTCACCTAAAAACAAAAGATATGACAAAATGTGATAATATTCTGCAAAGCTTATGATCATTTCTATAGACAACACAAAAGAAAGGGCAGCTTGCCTTGGGACCATATTGCTTAATAAACCACTCAGAGGTCTTAGGATTTGAGGCTTCAAACATGGTTCTCTCAAGGCCAAGACGCCCAATTATCTTCGCAATGATATCTGCCCTAACAGAATCAGCCTGCCGGCAGACATCATCAGCATCAATCACTATCATGTCTGCCCCAGCTTCTAAGCATCTTTCGGCCCTTCTTATCAGAAGATCAACATCCTCAATGAATTCTGCAAGGTATAAGTGAAACTCACCAGTTAAAGGCAGTAGCAGAGGAATTTCTGCTTGTAATCTTAAGCTCTGGATGCAAGACTGACAGTTTGTGATCCTACATCTCCGAACTGAGGACATGACATTCCTCATTTTTTGATTTTCTCTTTTCTAGTTTGTATTGAAGAGGAAAATTTGTTGAGGGTTGAATATACTCTGAACTGTCAAAACTTTCAGCCATCCATGCAAGCTGAACACTTAAAACTTCAAATCCCACTAGTGATCATTACTGGTACTATAGATTGGATGCCACAAATTGCTATATAGACTTTCATAAGAGCAAACTGAACTTGGTTTAAGCAACACTCAGAAATCATGATGTAATTGCAATAGCAAATTTTCCTTATACGGTGCTGGGAAAATTGAAGAAAGGGGAGAAAAAAAAATTATAATTTCCTCCAAAGATGGATGGGGCAGAGTTTTAAAGCTCTGCAACAAAGTCATTCTCCAGAATTCTCTGTTATAACATGAGATACCAGTTCAGAAAGACGCCTAAATCTGTATTTACGTGATTAAGGTCAGTAACGATTCTAAGCCCGAGAAGGCAGGCCTCAATTTCTCATTCAGCAGTTCTACTTCAACTGGAGAACAATTGAGATAAAATCAAAACTTATTAAGCACAGTAATCAGAAAGTTTATAATACACTTCAATCATAAGGCCAGTGCATGATCTGCACTCTCGTCATCAGGTTAACCAAATCATGTCTGCATGGGCTTTTGATTTATCAAACAAGAGGATCAAAATAAAGTACCCATTAGACCCCACAATTTGAATCACGGAGCATATAACTTGCTTGCTTACCAGAGCTTCTAGGTGCAGGTACCACATAAGATCCAAATGCTCTATCTCTGTTGACAGGTATATCAGACTTGTTAGTCTTGACTGCAAATTGAGGCTTAGCTCTAAGACCACCATTCTTTATCAACCGCACATATCTTAACAAAGTTTCTTCAGGAAACCCCATCGATCCCATGTTGAGCTCGATAGTGTCAAATCCCAACTGCTTACATTCCTGAGAGATGAATATCCGCAATGAGATATCATCACCTTGGGCTGTCGAATGCAATAACTGGAAAGGAATAACAGTATGCATACCTCGAGATATTCCTTAAAGGCAGACGGTCCTTTGCAGAGCATATGTTCAGCCCAGTCTCCTGTAGTGACATAGACATTGTGTTTATGAGCCATATCAGTAACTTCTCTTATGTAAGTCTTTGGCAATAGACTATGGGAGCCTCCAGTGAACTTTAACCCATCAACAAACTCTCCCATTGATTCAAAGATGTCCTGCAAACAATAATATCAAATTAAGAGAATTAAAAACATAAGCTGTCCTCCATTATGAAATGTAAAATGGGTTTCTAGCCACCACAAAATAGGCACCACAGAAAGTAAAGCCATCCTACTTATAGGAAGATTAACTCTCACAACTAGCAAATCACCTGTTAACACCACAAACAAAATGGAAAATGCAGATTATTAATGCTAAGATTGGACCCTCTGGGAACTTAGTTGAGTTAAAAAGAACCAGTAACCAAAATCGCCTGAACTAGGGAGCAGGTAGGATTTATAATTTTCCAATTTCATGATAACTACAAAGGAAATGCAGTTAATCAGTGCTTGTGAAAGTTTTGACAAATTAGGAACTTGCATTGCCAATCAAGTTAAGATCCATTTACAAACTTATCAATATACTTAGACTGAATCCATGTTCATCTTCGGTTATGGAAGATTTTCTTTGATTTTTAGTAAATGAAAGGGATCCTCAGTCTTTAGCATATCCAGAATGACCTGTTTATAGTATAGTGAGGATATATGCTCACAGAACTTGCAAAACGAGAATATAAGTTTCCCTTTTTCCCTAGCTTTCTCCAACACACATCCCAGATATATTTGCCAGTTCATTAGGACCTTGAATGTATTCTAGTGCACAGATTTCATGTTGAAAATGAGCCTGCTAATCAGAATGAACAAGACGTAGTAGCCAATTATCAGAGAGAGACAGTTGTTTGGCTAAGTGATGCAATTTAAAAACGGATCAGACCACTATTTCAGCTACTTCTTGACCATCCGGGGTACTACTTCTAAGCCAATTATCCCATCCCTCGCCCCCATTTCCATAATCTCTCTACAAGTTTGCAGAAATGATTCAACTATAGATAACCCTATTAGACGCACCAAGTGTGATATCAATCTTTAACTGCAACATTGAACCTTCCGTGGAAATTTACCATATTACCATCCAAAATATCAGTTCCATTTCCTTCACTTCCTGCAAATTTCTATTTCCTTTTGTTAAAACAAGGACAGGCACATAGCAAATCTAGTGTCCATGAAACGCGGATTTGAAACAAGCCCTAGATACAAGAAAACTTTTATCACTTTAGCTCCAGCTCTTTTAGGAGGTCAAATTCCTGGTTCCTATGATGACAAACCTACCAAATTTAACCTATCAAACAACTTGCATTACCATATTGAAGCTCACTGCCAATCAAATTGTACCCAGAAGGGATCCCCAAAAAATCAAACAGTTCAATAAGAAATCTCAGTATACCGCTAAAGCCATTTGATCATCAATCCATCTTCCTAAACTACTTAAGAAAAACCAACACCTTTATAAAGAATTAATGGAAAAAAAGAGAATCATCTAAACTGAAAGCTCCAATTGGGAATCTTGCAACAAAAAGGAAAAAAAAAATCACATGGAAGGGAATTTCGTTCCATTCCACTTCAATCCAAAGCATTACAATTAAAATAAAAAGGGGGAAGGTATAAAAACCCATGGCATTTTATTCAGTAAAAAGCTAAAAGCTTTGTTTTCGACGTACCTCAAGGAGGTTTTGAGAGAAAAGGGAGCAATGGGGTCCCCTGACTTCAGTGACACCATAAGTTCTTGGCTTCTCAGGACGATCCTCATCTTCATAGAAGCTCTTCCATGCAAATGCCGACATTTTCTTTCCCCCTTCCCTTCTCTTTTGCTCTGAAAATTGTTGGGGATAGAGCTCAAAGTTTAGAGAAGCTTCACAGACTTATAATAGGGATCTTTACTGGACGTTTTCTTTTAATTTTTTGAGCAGAACAAAAGGAAAAGCTGGAGAAGCCTTGAGTGGTTTCTAGAAATGTAAATTGATTGTCATCTGTGATAAATTATTGATTAACGTCATTATCCAGTTTCTAAATTCAATGTGGTGTCGCCCCAATTTTTCCGTTACACGTGTATTTTCTAGATTTTCCTCCTCTATCTTCAAAATTTGGACAGGCCATCCACCGGTTGAGATCAAGGGTGAGGGTCAATGAATTCGATTAGGATCGAATCCATTCAATAATCGGATGATATTATTATGATGTTATAAATGTATTTAATTTTAAAAATTAAAATATTATGTAAAATTTCTAAAAACATATTAATACTAAGAAAGATAGGTTCAATGTATGTTTGATGTTTCTAAAATATTTTTCAAAAAAATACAAATAAAGTAGTATAATTAAGTAGCAATTTATGCAATTTACAATATAATGCATAGTCAACGAGTTTAGAACCAAATTGGAGGGCTTATTTGAAAAATAATACAAGAATTTAGGGTTCTAGCTATATGTTCTAAAATGTTTCTAGATGTAATAATAGTTTTCTAGTACTCTATGGGTCAAATCATAAAATTGATAAAATGTTTCTAGGTGAAATTTTTACTTTCTTTTTTTTTAAAAATGTTTTATCCCTTTTTGAACTTAGATCCTCTATTGGAGTTGTCTAAGAGAGATTTATAGTACGATATGTGAAGAGATTTGAGAGTAGTTAAAAAAAAAAGAATAAAAAAGGAAAACAAAAAAAGGAAAAGGCGGAAAAAATCCGATTCCAAGCAGCTCTTCCCATTTACGATAAAATCCGATTTTTTAACTGGATTTAACCAAGTTTTTATTTGACGGTTGTTTAGGACAACTCGGATCGGATGTCTACCCGGTTCAACCAATTGAACCGGTCAGTCTGATCTGAATTTTAAAACGCAGCAAGAAACATGGAGTGGGTAAGGTTAGATTATCGTCTTAGTTTAAGGGAGCAAAGTGTGACTTACCTGTACATTAATGACAATCTATGTGTATTGACAAAATTCTTCAAAATATTTAATCAATAGTTGGAATGAGCTTCCTTACATTGATTCTTTTTTCGTTTAAATTGATCAATGGTTCTCAAAATTCTAAGAAGCTTTTCGTTTTAAGTGGTTTTGAATTAATTACGAGCAGCTTTGTTATGCTAAAAAAACTTAAGCATTAAAGCATATTAGAAAGAGGTAACTTAGAGACTTGGGCATAAAATGGTATTTGAGTATGGATTTGTGGTAATTTTTTATTAGTTAATCATAAAAGGGTAAAATGAGCCTGGCATTAACAGTTTTTCAACATAACACGTGATTTATATAGAGATATTGTATACAGGTAATAACTTGGGATACTAGATGAGAATTAGATGCATTATCCCTAAAACTGATCAATAATGAGTGCTTCCTAGGTAAAGTATTTAATGTTACGTATCCTCAAACTTACAATTTCATGATTGTTAAGTTGAGTGCTCTCTTTTTTCTTTTTTTTTTTCATTTTTCTTTCTCATTCTTGGGGGCTTCTTCTGTCATGTTCTTTCTTATTTGTTGAGGATTTGGGACGACACCAAACGATAGAGTGCCCGAAGGGAAAGGAAATTCCTTGCAACTTATCATCTTCAAATGCGTTGAGTAGTTCTTTGTTATGACTGATAGGGCATTGTGCATTATTTAGGTCTTAGGATCAACTTTTCATGCTTGAGAGAGCGCCCAGAAATGAAAATTCCTATGATGTTAAGATAACTAATCAGGATCGCCAGAAAGCCAGAACGAACTTAAGTAACTTCTGCATGGTATCAAGGTGACCGTTTAATTTAGAAAGATGGCAGATGGATATCACCCTGAAGAGTGAAGGCTGTAGAAGAAGCAGGAAATAACGCACAATAGCCTCAAGAAATTCCACGCTGCCCGGAACGAGATTGGCCTCGAAGAGGGCCTTTGGAAGTTTTGCTTCGCCCCAGATGCATAAAACTGGACGTCTGAAAGCACTTCTGTGCTAGTGTGTTTGGATTGCTTTCTATTTCACTTTATTTACACCTTATTTACACACATCGATTTACTCTTGTATCATCAACACATTTTTCAATCACCTTTTTTATCTCACATACATCACATCAAAAAAGTGCTACAGTACTTTTTCACAAAATTATCTCAAATAATTTACAATCCAAACACACATTAGTATGTTTTAGGCTAGATTGTTTAAGAGCACTTTCTGCAGCAATTCAGCATTAACATTTTAGGCTACTGCTTCATATGTTAAGCTCAACAATTTCGGATTTAAACAGATAAATTTGAAATGTCTATTTGTTTACCAAACAATGCAGAACTACAAAATTGTCGAAGTTGTCGAGCGTTTTTTCATTTTTTTTTTCCGTGCGGGCGGGGGGGGGAGGAACTGCTCATTTTTTAAAATATGTAGCACTGATGATGGTCAAATTTTGTACCTCAACCAGGTTAACTACACAAAGTAATCAACTTTTTGAACACATATGCTCATATAAGCATTTTGGGGGGGGGGGGGGGGAGGAACTGCTCATTTTAAAAAATATATAGCACTGATGATGGTCAAAATTTGTGCCTCAACCAGGTTAACTACACAAAGTAATCAACTTTTTGAACACATATGCTCGTATAAGCATCACATGGGATTCTCAATACCACTTTTTCAGTGATTATTTAGTATCATTTCTATATTTATGTTAAGTGTCTTGTTTATTTAATTTGTCATGTGCTGTTTATTTAAATTTCTTCTATCATCACGTGATAAGTGAGATTGATACTGAATTTGATACCGAATAGTGGCACGGAGAATCCCAACTGCCAAATCTTGAAGTTTTGTTGAAGTTTTGGGAGAGGAAAAGATGAATGCAGCGCTAATGCCATGGTGCCGTGCTTGGCTTGTCACCAATGAAAAGAATCCAAATCTGAAAGAGCAGAGGGAATGAACGTAGAATAAAGTCATCTCTGAAGACAATAGGAAGCCTTTCTGAGCGGATTATACAGCTAGCCATTCTTATATATAAGGATTAATCGCATTTGCCTCCCTTTAGGTTTGACCAAATTACGAATCAAACCTTGAAGTTTAACTAAATTACATTTGCCTCCCTTGTCAATAACACCGTCAGAGCAAATAAATACAACAAATAAAATGACAAATTTACCCTCTACTCACAACAATAAATAAAGTTCACAAAAAAAATTTCCAAAAATAAAAATTGCGAGAGTTTAATAGAGAAAACATAAAGACAATTGAACAAAATAAATCTTTATCCTAACGCCTAAAGTTAACAAATTGATAGATAAAAGAAAAGGTGGCAGAAAATAATAAAAAGGAAGTTCATTAGTACTAGATACGGGAAAGAATACAAAAAATTAAGAAGAAAAAAATTTCCTGTTGTCCACGGATCGTACTCCTCAAAAACCGTAATTGCTTCTCTTCCCATCTTTAAGTTATCAACCATCTCTAACACACTCCCAATTCCAAACTATTGCAAAATCATTCATCGTTTAACACCATAGCTTGTGTTTTTTATCATCTCCTTTAAAAACCCACAAAAAATAGACATATAATTGCCGTATACAAAACCAAAATCGTGCCAACCCAATTCTTTGTACACATTCAATTGAAGCAAAGTCGGCAAAGTAGAAACAAGAAAGCAGCAAAATTTGATGCTAGGAGAGCCACCAAAATCACACGCAAAACCATAACCCATCGTAGCCACAAGCAATGCTCAGAATCTCTTCTCTAGCTCCTCATAAATAGGGTTCATCATTCAAATCTCATGTCTAGAGGAGAATCGTTTGGACTAAAGATTTGGTCTTGGTAGTTAAATAGCAAGATATATATTTTGAAAGGAATTGCAATTCGTGTTTTTCCTTTCCTTTCTTTTCCTGCTTTTGATTGAATCTAAGGCTGACAATTTGTGAAGAAATAGTGTTTTAATGGAAGAAGAAGAAGGAAGAAAAAACAGCAGTAAGGAGTGATTTTGATAAGCAACTAGTGAATGTGTACTCATTTGAATCCATTCTACACGAACAACGAAGAACTATTATGCAACCAACAATTTTGCAACTCCGTTGATTTTAGTCCCCGAGAAGAAGGGCTGAAGACTTAAAGGGAATAATCTTGTGGGTAGTCTAGGACATTCACTGACCTTTTCGTTTAACATCAAGCAGTCAACGTTTGTTGACTAACGATAGGTGGCTTTTAGTTAAGCTTTTGTGAATTCAGAGGGCTCTCCGTAGTTTGGCCAAATCTCGGGGCTTAGTTTGTAGTTTGGCCAAACCTCAAGGGAGACAAATGTAATTAACCCTATATATAACGGTATGATGCTGCCCAGCTGCATGCATCCTTCCACTTTATTCAGATACTTCAAAGAAAACTCTAATTAGCCGTACCATTCACGAAAGGCAGCATAGAGTGAAGTCATATATATAGTTATATGCACAAGGCTGCGCCATCTCTGCCTTCCACAGCCATCTATCTCTTTTGATTTTTGGAAGTTGCTGATTAAGATGGTTAAAATGGTTTATTACATAGTTGGCCTTTTGATCATGGTCATGGACGTTGTAGCTGGTATTCTAGGCATCCAAGCTGAGTTTGCCCAAAACAAGGTACTGGTCAAATTTATATTCATTCACTCTTGTTCGGATGCACTGTAGAAGATAAGGTAAACGGCATTCCATAGTAGCAGTTCAAACATGAGCCTAAAGATCGATATGGTAATGTGGTATTGTCTTTGGGGATCAAGGGAGGAAACCTATGAATTCATCTACCACGGCTTCTTTGTTTAGGGCTATGCTTATTGTGATCATTGCAAGAGAACCTCTGTTTTGCAGGCCATAACCCTTCGGCTGTGGATATTTGAATGCACACACCCAAGCTATGAAGCTTTCAAACTAGGCACGGTTGCAACAGTACTATTGACCTTGGCACATGTCGCTGCCGTTATGCTCAGCGGGTGCGTCTGCATTGGGTCTAAGGAAGAGTTGGATCAGTCATCTAACATTAAGCGGCTTGCAGCAGCTTCTCACGTTTTAGCATGGTACGAGATTACTTTTATTGCATTTTGTCCCCATACAAACTATAATCACAGATTAGTCAATAATAAAGAGTTGCGAAATTGTTTGGTGAGCGAAAATTAATTTTCACCAAACTTTTCATGCAGCAGCAGCTCATGTGAAATAATTCTTGCTACAATTGATTTTGCTTGAAAAGCATTTCGCTTCAGCAGATTAAAGCCACAACCACCAAAAACATGAAGCAATAGGGGCTTAATATGCTCCCACGATCTTTGAGAATCCATCTTTATCTATCATTAACAGACTACCGTGGTGATGTATCAGGGTCATAATGGTTATAGCATTCTTAATGCTAATCAGTGGGACAATATCGAACTCAAGGTCGAGGCAAAACTGCGGAATTTCAAACCATCATCATTTGTCCATAGGAGGAATTTTGTGTTTTGTCCATGGACTTTTTGCCGTCACTTATTATATTTCTGCAACAGCAGTCATTCAAGAAGGAAAGAAGTTGAAGCATCCTGCAACTGCAGGTGCAGCTGCCAATGCTTGAAAGGACCTGAAAACTATTCAGTTCGTTTTTTGTTTACAATTCAAATGCTATTGATTTGTAATTATTTTGCAAGAAGCTTGCTGCAATGTGCTTTCATCGTTCTTTCTTCTCTCTTTTCAAATAGGTTCTTGCTGATGTTTAAGGCGTATTTGTTACAAAGTTGGAGTTCATTATCTTTCTGAAGCAAAAAAATTTAACGGGACTATAGTGTTTTGCAGGTTTGCTTAATTACAAGAGTCTGGTGAATAAAATTCTACTGATCAATTGTTAACCAAACAAGGCATGACAGGGGGTTGGTAATTCAGTTTTATGTCATTCATAGGATCAGTAACCCATCATGTGTCATCCATGGAGCAAATCGTGCCTTACTGTCTGGTTTTGCCAAATGTTGTGGAAGATCATTTATCTGGTTCAGATGCCTTGAGTCTTTGACCCTGTTTCATTTTCTTTTTTTTTTTTTGTTACAAAAATGACTTTTGATAAAAAAAAAAAAAAAAAAGGGGGGGGGGGGGGGGCTTTTGGAGAGTATTGAAAAATGAGTCTTGTGATCCGCAGCCCAACTTATGACCTAAAATTTAACAGGACTACAGAGAGACGGGGGACGTAATCAATTAATAATCCTCAGCAAAAAATGTTAGGTTCATGAGTAAAGGTTTATGTGCCACGTTGATTCGAAAGATGGAGAAAGAACGATTAATATGTAAGTAAGGGTCTGAGACCTAATCGCTTAAACTTTTGGATCAGAATTGGGTTCGTGACTTACATATTGAACTCTTCGATGGACTCTTTCGAGGTATTTTTCCCTATCAAATTGGTATCAGAGTTTTAGGTTACGAGATTGGACTACTTATGAGTAAGTGGTTCTTCTTGGAGTTGGACCAGTAAAAATTCTCTTCTTAATAGTGGACCGAAATGCCAAAGAGTTTGGTTGGTGTTGGATCAGGTGTGCCAGAGTGAGTCCATATTTGGGAAAAGAGGTGACCTTAGGTGATAAGATAGGCTTGCGTTGAGTATTAAAATGGACTCGAGGCCGAATGGCTTAATCTTTTGGATCAAAGTTGGGTTCCTGACTTACATATGGGGAGGGCCCGAGGCCTAATGGCTTAAGTTTTGGGATCAGAATTGAGTTCCTGATTTACATATTGGCCTCTTTGGTGGACTTTCTCGAGGTGTTTTTCCCTATAAAAGAAAAACGTAATAAAATAGAAGTGTTACAAATGCTTGTGGTTATTTACTATGACAAGGAGTCCAATGCACATTTTCTTTGTTAAGGAAATGGACTCTCATAGTGTAATTGATTGTCTTCCATGAGCACTTAAACTTGTAAACCAAATGCATTTAAATCTTTTCCTGTTTCTTCATCAAGTATCTCAGTTTTCAATCTTCTTATCCCAAGCAAACGTATGATACGGAAGTTCAGTTAATATAAAGTTGATGATTTGGGTGTTGCAATCCAATTGTTAATGGTTAGTTCTTCCCTTTCACAATCTTAATTTTTAATGGTGCATTAGTGGCTGATTTTATTGAACAGTACAATTTGGACTTTTTATTGATAGTAAATCTTTACAAAAGGTTAGCAGCCAAGATAAATTATGTGGCCAAATGTGGGTCACTCTGATTGCCTTGATGGACTAAAAAACAGTTTGTAATAAACAGTTGGACTTTTCTGTTGTTCTGTTGTCTTTGCTTTCTCTATTGGAATTGGAATGATGAAATTCTGCATTGTTACCTAGAATTTCTGTGTTTCTTGGGATCAAGTTTGCTCACGGGGAGATGTAAACGAGATTTGCAGAAGCTGATTAGAGAAGACCAAAAAACTAGCAGAAATATTACTGCACAAATCTGATGTTCAGATCATGAAATAAAATTCTTCCAGCCCAATGAAATTATTTTTGAGATCTTAATTAGACTGACTGTGAAGTCTGTTAGCAGATGTAAATGCGTGTGCAAGACGTGGTATGTCATTGTTGAGGAACGTAAATTCATCGAAGAGCAGATGAATCGATCAGACGGTTTATGAGTACAGGGGAAAGGCATATGCTATAGGAGATGAAGAATTCTTATGGCTGTTTGTCATTGACAGACTGGTTTTGAAGAGAAGTAGCTTGACCAAAAAATATCGTGTCAGGAACCCTGCAACCAAGAAAATGCTTGATCTGTCTGGTCCTTGAGACTCAGCCAATGAAATGTGGATGTTCTATCCTCAGACCACTAACAAGTACAAGTTAGCCTATGTGTGTATAGGGAAAGGAACAAAACATGGTGGCTGTGATGTCCTAACGCTGGGGAGGACAGATCTCAATTGGAGAACCCTTGATATTCCAAATTTGTATGATCTGGGTAGCAAAGGGGTGAGGTCCTATGTTGTAGCTACCGGCGATTTGTTCTTTATCACCAAGCTTTGTGACGCTCGATTTGTCATTTCTGAAGTAGTCTGCCTTGACATGGGAGGTGAGAATTTTGTCAGTATCAGGATTCCACGGGATCTTTTCTCGAGTTGGAAGAATGTTAGGACTTTGCTGTGGGACAAGAAGTTATCTCTATTGGATTTAGTGAAACAGGAACCTCAAGTCTATGTGCTGGAAAATTATCAAAAAGCAACAATGGGCTCAAAGTAAGACGGTTGTACATTTGTCGTTCCTGAGTAAAAATCCAGACTTCCAATTTACTTTTCCATATAAAGTGGAAAATGGTTGGCTGCGGTTTTATCCAGCAGATGCACGTCATATTGCACATAACTTTGAATCCAAAAGACTGCGCATTGCTAACCGTCTACCACCAGGAAAAAGGAATTCAGGCTGCATCCAGTGCAGCCTAGTTAATTTAGAAAAAATTCAGGCAAAAGAGCAAGCCAAAGGACAGAGTGAGTTTGGAACGGACTCAGCAAAAAAGAGGAAGTGAATTTAGATGGGATTCAGCGAACAGGGGACGTGAATTTACAAGAGATTCAGCCAAATGAGAACATGAATTTAGAAGGAACTCAGCCAAAAGAGAATCCAAACACGCAGAAACTGGAATTTTCACTCCTTGTCTTTTATCACATTCGTGAATTCTCGCTCATTTTTTTTTAATTTTTTCGGTTTTCTCTTGCACTTCTTTCTTTCAAACACTAGATCGCATTCTGGACAAATTTCCTGTGATTTGAAGTTGGAGATACTATATAAATAAAACGTTGTTTCTTTCTTTATCCAGGCGGTGGTTGCGCAGACTTGTCAAGTGACGATAGGAGGGTCAAGAAATTATGCAAGGTGGAGTAACCTACCAGTTTCTTCTACCGTCTTTGACAGGCAATACACTGGCACTCTTCAGTTATATATTTTTGTTAGAGAGCAGTTTCTCTTAATGATTCTAGCAAAATTGAGATTAAAAAAGGTCTCCTGAATAGTTTTCATCGGACTGATGAACAGTTTATGCATCTATTCTGCTATTAATATCCTCAGAGACGCATGAGTTCTTTTCATGGTTCTATAACTTCTCTTTATTATCTTTTCAGCAATTGTTCATTGACGCTTATTCTGGTAAAGAATTGCAAAGGCTAACTGCAGCAGAAGTGATGGCTCTTGTTACTGCTGTTCATTAGCATTGATAATTTTCGTTTTTACCATGCAATTTTGCGGCACGGAATATTTTATGTATTGTAATTTGAGCATTCGGTTCTTGGTGTCTTTGGGAAGATGGGGAAAAGGCAATGATTGATTTTTCAATGTCGTTTGATTTCGGAGGGAGAAAGATTTGGACCTGAAAAGACAGTTTTTGTTTACGAGAAGAGTTAAATTAAAATGAATTTTAAATCAATAGTCAAGATCACTTCGAGTTGAACTTGCCTGATCTGAGCCTTGAAATACCCTCTACGGTCAAAAAAACCGGGATCCCCATTAATCTTGGAGTAAGAAAACATTAGGAGCTATTGAAACCAAAGATATATTGCAATGTTTGGTGATATGTTAGTCAACCCCTTGTTGCCAGTATCAGGATTAAGATGGAAAGAATTAGAGAATTTGTTCTATGCTTGGATGGTAATTTTCCAATTCAACTTGTGAAAGTGTGCTATTTTTGTCACGACAAAAAATGCCCTGCAGGTAACATGCTTCTTTTCTGTATTAGCCAACTTTATGCAATAACAGAGTGATCAAAACAGAGCAACTTCTATGGGTATATATATATATATATTTTTTATCACAACGATAGGATTCCTGTAACTTAAGCTAGCCTAATCTTGGGGGAGGGAGAGGGGACTCGATGTGAGTAGAAACTCCATCGAAGATGATCAACGAAAACCGTCACATATTGTGATGATTTTGATGAGAGGTAAAAGTCGAATCCTTGACCTCCCAACACCATCAAGCCTTAGAAGGTTGGGCAGTGAACACTGGATCACAAGCCCAGTGGCAACTTCAATGGGTATCTAAATTGACCCAAAAAACAATAAGTGCAACTTAAATGGGTAAATTGACCACCCAAAAAATATTATGTTATTGAACTTTAGGTAAAGAATATCAAAGATAAAACACGCGGTTTCAGGTGTCTCCAACTTTATCTAAACAATATCAAAGGTTGAGCATATTGTAAAACTTGCCTCTTTTAGATGTAATTGTGACCCACATGATTGATTTTAAAGTGATTGATATCCTAATTACCCACATGATTGATTCTAAAGTGATTGATATCTTGATTAATTGATTGATATTTTATCAATAATTAATTAGTATCTCCCATGTATTAATGATTAATTGGTGTCTTCTGCTAATTGATATCTTGTTCAATCATTTAACTAATCAAATCAATCAATTAGTCAGAAAGTGCTATGGATTATGGCAAAATTTCATTGAAGGAAGAAAACCCTAGAAATTCTGGTATTTGCCAGTAAAGGTCCCTACTCTAATCTATAAATCTATAAATAGCTTGTAGTATTCTATCAACACACTCTCTAGTTAGGCATAGGTTAAAAGCTCCTTACTCCTACAAGGAGAGATCAACTTAACTTGTTTGACAATAATGGTTGGAGGTAAGTCTATTCAGATTTCTACTGCATAGTATATCAATATGTACATAATTAGTTTAACACATATCACTATTGTCCTCAGTAACTTAATCATATACTTTAGCGTATGAGACCCCATTTAAGAAATGCAGTCTCTTGAAGGCGTGCTGATCAAATGCAGTACATAAAATACATAATCCATCATCAGGCCAACTCCTAAGGGCCCTGACCCTCAAACCTTTGTAGCAACCCCCAGAAGCTTGGATGTTGTGTTCGATGTTGGTTCCATTAAGTTGTAAATCACGTCAAAAAAAAAAATTAAA